AGGACAGGAAGGCCTGGTGCAATATGGTTCATGGGGTCACGAAGAGTCGGACACGACTTAACGACTAAACAACAACAACCAGAAAGTAATTTCAGTTTCTTCATTTAAAACTTTTTCATTTTTTGTCTAAGAATACCTTTCATTCTCCTTTTGCAACTGCTTTAATAGGTTCCTTTTTTGTAGTAATTTTATTACAGATTATAATTACAACAGTAAAAACTAATACAAACTAAAAAAAATAGAATAACAGAAAGAATAGAATGTATAGAAAAGAAAGAAAAAAGGAAAAAAAGAAAAAGAAAAGAAATAATATAGTAGAGAAAAGAAAATAAATATATAAACAAGTGACTTCCCACCTTTATCGCAACAAGTATAAACAATTTTAGTAACTTATCATCTCCTCTTAAAATACAACAAATAATCTCTTCTTCCCATATGCCATCTTTTATTTATAAACAAATCCATAAGGCATCATCATTTCAGTCCTGATGTCAGCAAAAGTCCGCTAAGAGTTACCAGAAATAACAGAATATCTATTTTAATCTTGATCAAATAAACCAACTTTATATTCCTTCTTTTTACTTTTAACAATTTTAATCTTTAGTCCCTTCAAATAATACCATAGAACTTGACTTCTTTTCATTTTTTCTTTGTCCCTTCTCACATGATTCTTCAAAACTTTAAAAAGCCTCTTTTGTAAATCCAATATAGGACAACAAATCTCTTGGTTTGTTATTTGTATATCCCTTTTAATTATTAAGGCATCAGCAGTTTCTTTTGAATGTCCAGTGTAGCATCTTTTTCAATGTCATTCTTGTAGCTTGTCATTTGTAAATCCACTTTCAACTCAGTCTCTGTCTTGTCAGGTAAAACCTGTTCCTCTTCCATAACATCTTTTGGACACAGTCTATCCATAGAGGCAGATATCATTGTTGACATTGTTAATATTACCGTATTTTTCCAACTATAAGACGATACTTTTTTCTAAAATCCTTACGCTAAAA